CACATCTTCGATAGTGACCTCGGTAAGCCATGCTTCTACCTACTTCCCAAAATTCATAAGTATGGTAACCCTGGCAGACCCATTGTCTCAGCATGCTCTTGCCCCACCGAACATATCTCGGAATTCCTTGATGGAGTTTTTCAACCCATCGTTGCCTCACTGCCAACTTACATTAAGGACACCAACCATGCTCTACAAACCTTTGAATCCATCATAATCCCTCCTGAAAAGAAACATCATCTATTTCTTCTTGATGTATGTTCTCTATACACTTCCATCCCCCACACTGACGGTCTCTTAGCTCTCAAATTCTTTCTCGAGACTAGACCCCACCCATCTATACCCACCAACACCCTCCTCAGATTGGCTGAACTAGTCCTCACCCTCAATTCGTTTGAGTTTGGTGGCCAATTCTTCGACCAAATCAGTGGTGTTGCTATGGGGACTAAAATGGGACCCAGCTATGCTTGCTTGTTCATGGGGCATTTCGAACACTTGGTCGAAAGCAGCTATACTGGACGCCTCCCTCAATTCTATAAGAGGTACATAGATGATGGTATAGGGGTCACCCCTATGGAGAGGAGTGAACTTGACCTGTTCATCAACTTTGTAGGCTCCTTTCACCCCTCCATTAAATTCACATCTCTTATCTCTGAGACCTCAGTCAATTTCTTAGACATTACAGTCACTCTTCACAAAGACACCCTACACACCTCAGCCTACGTTAAGCCCACTGACAGCCACCGCTATCTACTCTACTCTTCATCCCACCCTAAATCCTGTAAGGACTCTATTCCTTTCTCTCAATTACTCCATCTTCGTCGACTTTGTCGGTCGGATGAGGACTTTTGGGACAAGGCACTTGAAATGATAGACTTTTTCCGGTGTAGGTCTTACCCGGAGACAGTACTTTCATCAGCCCTCCAAAGGGTTAAGAATATTACACGTGCTGATGCCTTCAGACCACGTCTGAGCGACAATGTTGACAGGACAAAACTCATTTTAACTTATCACCCTCACAATCTGATTGCTAAACGTGTTTTCCTTAAACATCGATCTATACTACTCGCAGACACCGACACACGAGAAATTTTCTCTTCCCCACCTCTCATTGTTTTCAGACGGGATAAAAATCTGAGAGACCTCCTTGTACGCAGTCGTATCAATGCTCCCCCCTCCCACTTTGGGACCAAGCCGTGTGGACGCAGTCGTTGCAACACGTGCCCTTTTGTCGTCCAGACTGAACGCATACGTTTCCCCAAGGGCAGTTTTCAGATACGCGACTGTTTCCTCTGTACAAGCCGCAATGTTGTCCACGTCATTGTCTGCACCCGCTGTCAGATGACATACATAGGGGAGACTGGACGCCGTCTCTCTGACAGGTGTACGGAACACCTCCGAAACATTACACAGGATATACAGTGTCCCCTCTCCAAACACTTCAATAGTAGTGACCACCAGGGCAAGGCGGACTTTTCAATAAGTGCGATTGTGGCTAGCACGAACACCGCCAGCCGGGTCAATTTGGAACACAGACTTATCCTGACTTACGGCACTTTGACGCCAGATGGGATTAATGTTATGTCTCTGTTCACAGCTTGACCCTAGCTCCGCCCCTTCAGGTTCTGACCTATCACAGTGAACATTTTTCTCCCCCCTTTTTTTCGCCGCTGCTTATTTAAACTCTCACTCATTTTCCTTCTGACACTTCTATTGCTGCCCACAGATACTACTTACCAGCTAAGTGCTATTTCTTATTTTTATACCGTTTTTTCTGTTGTTTCGTTCGCTGACGAAAGCTTTCTGCCGACACGTTCGCTGTTTTGTTACGTTTATTTTTTCAGGTTTAACCCTACTCTGTTTTATTCATTTCAGATTTGTGCATGCCGTATGGCGTGATAGAATAATCTTGAGCAATAAAATTGCTTTAATCGTGTCATTTTCAAGACAACAAACAAAATAATTACTTACAACGGTTCACATGCAACAGAGCACTATCCAAAATACAATACACAAAGGTGGCAGGTAAAACCCAGCAGTCGAAATATGTTTATAGGGCGGTGCTAGTGACGAGTTGGTTAAAATATGACATTTTGAGTACTACTGGGTTTCAATATGGTTTTAAAAAACAGATTAAAAAAAATTAAATCAATTTAAGTTAATTATTAAAAAATATGAGTACATATTGTAAACCATTGTAGTCATTTTACCGATTCGATTCATGTACTTAGAATCACCAAACCAAATCGTATTTGGTGTCAATGGGAAGCTTTATGTCTCAGAATCAAGATAAATATAGCTTCCTGTCACAGAAATTACCGAAAACTTAAATCGGCGGTCTGTAATCATCGTCAAAGCAGTCTTTTTCTGACCCTCATTTCTGGCGCATCAACCTTAAACTTTTAATAAAGCACGCATTTTGATTGGTTATGTGTGTGGAAAATTTACATGTGATCGGGTTAGACCGAGCAGTATGTGCTCTGTAAATATGTCCTTTTTTCAAATTGGTGTCCCCCTCCCCCCCCCCCCCCTTTGCTCCCCCCCCCTCTATCCCCCCCCCCCCCCCCCCCCCCCCCCCCTTTTTTCCAATTGGTGGCCCCCCCCCCCCCCCCCCTGTTTGGTGCCACCCAGTAGATACGCACCCCACACCCCACTAGCTACGTCACTGACTGTAAGTATTACTCTGGGCCCATCCCGGATGGCACACAAGGAAGCTAAATCATTAGTTTTAACTTATTCTTTTTGGCAAAGCACACACTTATAAAAAAAATCTGTGACTTAACGTAGTGCAGGCATCATTCCTTAGGATGAAAAAACGTCCGAGAATCTGACATTGATTTGCTTTCAGTTACTGACAGCCGCACATTGCTTTGATAAAAAGGACGACGAGGAAGACTACGCTGTCTTGCTTGGAACACTGAGCCTGGAAGACATAGACAAATCTGCCCAGTTGATAAGAGTTCGATCGTTCCAAAGACACCCTGGCTTTAAACTTAGCGTCGCCCTGGGCTTCCCCAATGATATCGCCACCATTTATTTGGAGAGCCCGATCAAATTCAACGATCACGTCCAGGTGATTTTGAACTTGCCACTTGTTATTTGAGAAGGCCACTTGCGAAACCTGCTTAGTCTACCCCCCCACCCCACCCAAAAAAAGTTATATATAAATTGCTGGTTTCTTAAGTGTCAATTTTACTGCCTTCTATAGTGATAGATTAATCTCTTATTTTAATTTTATGGCTCGTTCAAGCAGTGCATAACAAAGGACGATACCATATGAGAAATACAATAGCAAAACTACGACACTCAAAACAGTTGCTAATTACAATTAATAAGATTTATTTAAGTATCAATATTTAACAAAATAAAAGAAATATGATTCAAAATTCATCAACTTACAGAATAGAATATGTCTTGTACCGGTACACAGCTAATACAATATGCCAATTAATTATGTACAATAATGAATGCGAATAAACACTTATGAGTACACACATAATAATACACTTGTCTCGTGAAGTGAAAAATATCTCTCCTCGATGAATCTCCCCATCTTAATGTTCATTAAACCCCTTATATATGCAGCGTAATACGCATTCCAGAAACGCTTTATACATTGTTTACCGGTCTAGTTCACTCTCGTGCTTTCCACAAAATTGTATTAGAACATATTAATTTATTTTTAGTTTGTATTTGTAGTAAACAAAGGCCAAGATCAAAGGAAATAGGCCACGCCCAATACGAACGCAGCCTAATTTGGGGTTCAAACAGAGTTCACGGCACGGGGAAAGTGACGTAAACACGTCTTCATAACAGTCAGTCTACATTACTTTGGCTATTTCGTTGATTGTCGATCTACAGTATTCTGGCTGGTTTGATAAGTGTCAACCTATGATATATTATGTAATTAATGAATCGAAAGTTTAATTAAGTCTTAAAATGTCACCATAACAAAAATAAATAGTTAGATTCGCCATATCAAGTTAATTTACAAAAAAAAAGTTTTTTTATAAATTAACAGGACTACACATTTACTCTATGATGTTGGTAGTACAGTGGAACCCCGTTGTAAGGCGCCCCGCCATAACGCGAATTCGGATATAACCCGGTCGTAGCATGGCCCCCGAAATTTGAAATTCATTTACTCCATGAGGCCTAAGTTCTTGGAAAATTGTATCCATTGCTTGGAAAGCCATTTTTTAAAGCGAAGAAAATCATAACTTTTCCAAATATCGTAGAAAATGTTCTCGGAAAAAAGTTCAATATTGTAAAAGCGCTTTTAACGCGATCCGACTTTATGGAGCCCGATCATCGCGTTATGGCAGGGTTCCACCGTACTGAAACTTGTGGTCAATTGAAAGAACAACTGTGTAAATATATATATCAAAGCTAATATTGCTAAAAAGGATATTATAAATATTAAAAATAATCTGGACCACAGCAGGCTGGTGAATAAATTAACTTCGCGATTGTTTGATACAATTACAAGATGCAATACATAAATAATATCAACAATTTTTTATCATCTGACATCCATCTACACTACTTTTTTTATCTTTTGACAGTCGGCTACACTACTTATTTTTTTTTCTGACATCCAGCTTCACTAATTATTTTATCTTCTGATACCCAGCTACACTATTTATTTCATCTTCTGACAGCCAGCTACACTACTTATTTTATCTCCTGACAGCCAGCTACACTACTTAATTTATCTACTGCCAGAGAGCAGCAATACTTATTTTATCATCTGACAGTCAACTACTCTTTATTATTTAATCTTTTGGCAGCCAACTACACTTCTTATTATATCTTCTGATAGCCAGCTAGACTACATATTTTATCTTGTTACTGTCAACTACACGTATCAATTTATCTACTGATAGCCAACTATACTTATTATTATATCTTCTGATAGCCAGCTAGACTACTTATTTTATCTTCTGACAGCTAGCAAAACTTCTTATTATATCTTCTGACAGACAGCTACGCTACTTATTTTATCTTCCGACATCCAGCTAATACTACTTTTTTTATCTTCCGACAGCAAGCAACAGCTCTTATTTTATCTTGTGACAGCTAGCTACACTACTTATTTAATCTTATGACAGCAAGCAACATTTCTTACTTTATCTTCTGGCAGCCAACTACACTACTTATTTCATCTACTGTCAGAAACAACACTACTTACTAATTCTTCTGACATACATCTACACTACTTATTTTATCTTCTAATAGCCAACTATGCTTATTTTTATATCTTCTGATAGAGAGATAGACTACTTATATTATCTTCTGACAGTCAACTACACTTGTTATTTTATCTTTCGACTGACAGCTCCACTGCATATTTTATCTTTTGACAGTAAACTACACTTATTTTTTTATCTTCTGACAGCTAGCAACACTTCTTATTGTATCTTCTGACAGACAGCTACACTACTTATTTTATCATCTGACAGCAAGCTACATTACTCATTTTATCATCTGACAGCCAGCTACATTACTCATTTTATCATCTGACAGCCAGCTAGATTACTCATTTTATCATCTGACAGCCAGCTACATTACTAATTTTATCATCTGACAGCCAGCTAAGTTGGCTCCGAAAGGCTCATCGTTTTTGGACAAGATGTGTGTCATGATTGGCTGGGGTCTAATCTATGGCAGACAAGAGCACCCCCATCTAATGCAGGCGCACATTAAAAAAATATCCGTCTCCGAGTGCAAGAATCGTGTGCGGCCAGTTGGTGCTACCATCACAAGAAATCATATCTGCGTGTTTGAAGACACAGGTCAGCGTTTTTTTTAGAGTCTCTTCTAGCCGGCAATCTTTGAATCCTGCTAAGCTGTTAAGCTGTATGTGTTATGCGCTAGATTTAGGAGAATGAATGTGTGTAATGAGAAGTTGTTGACTGTGAGAGGTTTATTTTGTGTGTGGGGGCGACATGTGATGGGTGGGAGGGGTTACTTCGTGGTTTTGGGCTAAGCTTGTGTTAAGTTATGTTGAAGGCACAGTTCCTGGGTGTTTTGTGAGAGAGCGGTCGTGAACTCAAATGAGAGTGTCAGCCATCTTGTTTGCTGTTGGCAAGGAGGTTTTCTTTATTTGCAACTTGTGGGTGTGAACACAGTGTAATATTAATGGAGAATTTGTAAGCAAACGACTCTGTTATTTACACTCGGCGATGTCACTTTTATAGTCACAAAGTATTTGTTAGATTTAAGTGTTTCCCTTGACAACAAGTGGGGCTCATCAAACACCCTCAGAATCCAAACCTATTTCGGAAGTTGTTAAATTGATCGTTGGCCCTTAAGATATAGAAGAAATGAAAAAAAAAAGGGGGGGGGATAGTCAAAGTGAACAAAACACATTAGTTGGACTAGGGAATTCTAATGCACACACAGACAATATCCGTAGATGGGTTATCTCGTATTTAAAATTTAAACGAAGAGGATTGAATGATAAATGACCTCATTTTAAAAAATTAGGAATCGTAAAATAACACCATACTCCTCAATATTATTACGGCTCACAACTCAAAATTATTATGACTCGCTACTCAACATTGTTATGACTCACTACTCCACATTATTACGACTCACTGCTTAAAAACTATTATGACTCACTACTCTACATCGTAATGAATCACAACTCAATATTATTAGGCCTCACTACTCAACATTGTAATGACTCACGATTTATTATTATTATAAGTGGTTTTATATAGTGTTGTACCCCAACCTAGGGCTGGGCTCACATCGCTGAACAAGCAATTTAACAAACATAACTTAAAAACTTAAAAAAATAATTAAATAACCATTACATTAATTTAAAAAAAAATGGGAATCAGTCAGCGTAGTAGAGTTTAAATAGATGTGTTTTGATTGCAGTTTTGAAGGTTGTGATGGTCGGTATATTACGGATGTGTAAGGAAAGAGAATTCCATTATTTTGGGGCACAGAAAGAGAACGATCGTTCACCGTATGTTTTTTTGCGACATTTGGGGACAGAAAGAATACACGCATCTGCGGAGGAGCGAAGCTGTAGAAGGGGTGAATAGACAGAGAGAAGTTCGGTTAGATAGGAAGGGGAGGAATTCGAGAAAAAGTTGTGGCAGAGAACAGAGAGTTTGTAGTCAATCCGTGCTTATACAGGGAGACAAAGAAGTGAATGAAGTAGTGGTGTGATGTAATCACCTTTTTTTGGCTTTAGAATTTGTGTTGCAGATGAGTTTTGAAACTTGTGTAATCTTTCTAAGAATTGTTTTGGTGAGCCTGTTAGAAGAGAATTACAATAGTCAAGGCAAGAGAGAACTTGAGCACAGACTAGGGTTTTTGTTGCACTAACTTTTAGGTATTGGCTTATGGAGCTGATCTGACGAATAGCAGTGTAGGCAACTACTCAACATATTATGACTCACAACTTAAAATTGTAATGACAAAACTTAAAATATTTTGCGACTCACTACTCAACACTGTTATGATTCAATTCTCAACATTATTTCGACTCACTTCTCAGCATAGTTATGACTTACTCCTCAACATAATTATGACTGACTACTCAACATCATTGAGGAAGCCCATGGACCAAGAATAATAAAAGCAAACTTCCGAACCTATAAAAAGAAAATAAAGATTAACATAATGCAGTATTATGCACCCACCAACGATAGCAAAGAAGACGAGAAAGAAACATTCTAGAATAGACTACAAGCAATAACAGAAAAGTTCACAAGAAGAGACCTGGGCATTTTAATTTTGAGACCTTAACACAAGGATCGGAAAAGACAACAGTGGGTATGAGGAAATCATAGGACGCCAGGTGTAGGAGAGAGGAACGAGAACGGAGAAAGACTACCAGACTTTTGCGCCAAAAATGAGCTTGTTATCGGAGGCAACGAATTCCATATAAAAATGTCCATAAGATAATATGGGTATTCCCGGACAACATAATGCAAAACCAAATAGATCACGTAAGTTTTAGCACAAAATGTAGAAGGTCTCTCAAAGATGAACGAGCAAAAAAAAAAAAAAAAAAAAAAAAAAAAAAAAAGAGATGATGTCGCATCAGATCATCCTCTTGTATGGGTAAAAAGACTTAAGTTAAAACTGAAGAAAAACTAGGAAAAGCCAGCTGCTAAACGAACAAACGTCAACGTAGTACTAGCGGCAAACGAGCAGAAACGAGAAGAATTCAGTGCCACCTTAAGAAATAAGTTCCAAGCCTTGGAAGACCAAACAGAAGATGACCAAGCTGAACACAAATGGCAAACTATAAAGATGTCTAACATCCACTTGCCAAGAGGTTTTAGGATCAGTAAAGCAGAAACACAAAGACTGGCTCTCACTTAACACAGTGCAAAAAATAAAAGAGGGAAAAGAAATGAAAAGTGCACCTAGCTGCAGCGCACCCGGCTGGAGAAAAGAAACGTGCAAGAGAGATAGAAAGATGCAAAGCGAAAGGTAAAAAAAACAGCATCAAAAGGATTGAAAGAGCTCTACGACATTGCAAGGAAGGTGTCAGGGAGATACATAAGGCCGGAGAGACCTGTTAAAGATAAAGAAGGCAGATCTATAACGGAAAGGAAAGAACAACCAAAAAAGCTGGGATGAATAGTTTAAGGAACTATTAAACATACCACCACCCACAGACGCACCAAACATACAACCAGTAAATGAAGACTTACAAATAGAAGAAAGAGCACCAAATAAGGAAGAAATAGCTCTGGCCATCAAGCAGCTCAACTTAGGGAAATCACCGGCAACGGATAACATCAGAACAGAGATGATGAGAGCTGATATAGATACAATAGTCAACATGCTGCACCCTCTGTTTGAAAAGATATGGGAAGAAGAGAGAGTTCCAAAAGATTGGACAGAAAGATACCTAAATCAAAATACCAATAAAAGGGGAACTCAGCCATTGTGCAAATTACAGAGGAATGGGACTGATGTCTGTTCCAGGAAAAGTCTTTAACAGAATTATTACGAGATCAACAGACTGGCTTCCGCCGAAACAGTTCATGCACAGATCTAATTGCAACATTAAGAATCATTGTAGAACAGTCCATCAAATGGAACTCCCACTGATATATACATTTTATAGACTACGAAAAGGTCTTTGATACCCTGGTCTGACAAACCTCGTGGAAACTTCTTCGGCACTATGGAGTACAAGGAAAACTAGTCAGGATCATGCATTCTTATGAAGAAATGACTTTCAAGTTGGTCCACGAAGGTAGACTCACAGATGACTTTGAAGTGGAAACTGGAGTGAGACAAGGATGTCCCTCGTCACCCTTCCTATTCATCCTCGCCATTGATTAGAGGATGAAAAAAAATCCATTTAAAAATGAGGAACGGGACACAGTAGACACTCTGGGAACAACTGAATGACATATGACATTGGACTTCTGTCCCACAACCAGCAAAAAATGCTGGAAAAGACCAAAGAGGTAGCCACCATTTCAGCACAGCTCAGACTCAATATAAATAAAAGAAATACTAACATCATGAAGGTAAACCTAGCCAACCAAAAGTATATCTCTCTGGCAGGAAAGGCACTGGAAGAAATGGAGTCCTTCTTCATACTTAGCACCATCGACATAAATGGCGAATCCGAGGCAAATGTATGGGACAGAATTGGAAAAGCTAGATCAACATTTGTGCTATTAAAGAAAATATGGGAGTCGAAGGAGCTGAAACTGCAAACCAAAGTCAGAATCTTTAAAACTTATGTCAAAACAGTTCTACTATGTGGATCAGAAACTTGGAAAACAACAGCAGAAAGTACAAACCTTTATAACACATGCCTTAGAAAGATCTTGAACATGAAATGGTCAAATAAAATCACTAGCAAAGATGTAATAGAAAGGACTTACCAGGTGCCCATTGATGAATACATCATAAAGAGAAGATGGAGGTAGTAAGGCATATCCTTCGAAAATTGTCAGATAGCCCCACCAGACATTCTCTAACATGGAATCCACAGGGAAAAAGAAAAAGAGGAAGGCCAAAGAATACATGGAGACGTTAGCCAGATGTAGACCGCAAAATTTGGGATACACCGGGAAGCAACTGGAAAGGACAGCACAGGAAATTGATGCTTTGAAAGTTCTTGTGGACGGCCTTTGGCTCAGATGGGGTAAACTGGCATAAGAACAAGCAGAAGACTCAACATCATCACGACCCAATACTTAAAACTCTTAACAAAAGGCATTAATAATGTGATCTCAGTTTCTCAAGAGTACATTTTTGACTGACATCACTCCACGGGCCAACTTGGCAGTACATTTCAGTTTTGAAGAGGTATTTGGCTTGGAATTTTTTTTATTGGATTTGAGATTTGTGTATGGCAAGTTTTGGTCAACCCTTTGTTCTAATTTTTATAAAAAAATGTGGTTAAAATATAATTAAATGATATAGCTTAAATGAAATTCTGTTAAAATAGTTTTTATCTAGGATTGAAAAGTCGAAACTAACCAGAGTTTTGGACACAAGATTTGATTTTAACAACCAGACTTGGTTTTCAACGACAGTACAATATAATATCCGGCCAGAAGTCTTGGTTTACCACGAGTAAATATAATATCTGGCCAGAGAACTTGGTTACGGCGCGTAAAATAGGACATCTTGAGAGAAGACTAGATTTACGGTGCGTAAAATATGATATTGGGCAAGTAGACTTGTATTACGGCGAGTCAAACAAGATACCTTGTCAGAAGATTTGGTTAAAGACGAATAAAACATAATACCTTGTCAGTTGTCAGAAGATTTGGTTAAAGAAGATTAAAACATGATACCTTGTCAGAGGATTTGGTTTACGGCGAGTAAAACATGATATCTTGCCAGAGAACTTGGCTTACGTTGCGTAAAATAGAAAAGCTTATCATAATATTTAGTTTAAGACTAGTAAAACATGATATCTTGTCAGAAGATTTGGTTTACGGCGAGTAAAATATATTTCCATGTGAAAGATTTTCAAAAAATAATTTTAAAAATTAACGAGTTGAAGTTTCAATCAATTAATTAAATAATATGAAAACGAATTCAATTTATTTGCCAACAGACGATCCCCACGAAAGTTCCACTATTTGTGATGGTGACAGCGGGGGACCCCTCATGTGTGGCAAAAACTTGGAATTTGTTGCTGGTGTAGTGTCATGGACCGACCACAGTTGTAGTGGTAGGTAATTTATAATGTAACCTATAGTGTTAAAGTCACGAAGCTCCTAGATTATTATACACATCATAGGGTCATGTTTCCAAATATCTAAGACAATTGCCTCTAGGAGTGTGAGGTAAGGGACATCATTTGGGTAGGGCAGGGTGGGGGATTAGCCCCCCCCCCCCCAATTTGCAGGTTTTCTTTAAATTGCTATGTACCTTGACGCCTCCAAGAAGCTACCAAGTTTTGTTTTTCCCAAAAAAGGCGTAAAGAATAAGCCTGCCACATTTCAGGCTTTTTTCTAAAGGGGAAGCTGGAGAATTAGTGTAAAATTTGGGTAGGGCAGGGTGGGGGATTAGCCCCCCCCCCCCCCAATTTGCAGGTTTTCTTTAAATTGCTATGTACCGTGACGCCTACAAGAAGCTACCAAGTTTTGGTTTTCCCTCCTTCCTCCTTGAGTAAGACCTGAAATGACGCCCCTGCGTGGGGTCATACCTAATGGCTTGGCTGACATCATTGTTATAGGGTTTTATTGTGTCCTAAATAACATATACACATCTCAAGAAACCAAGAGATTGCCGTTTACAATCCAAAAATATTTAAAATCACACGAGGAACTGAAAAATTCGTTCTCTTTATTATGAAATACAATCATCTGCCTCATTACATATGCCTTATACATATGCCTTATTACATATGCCTTATTTGCCATAGGTAAAATACCCGCAGTGTACACACGAGTGTCTCAATACCTTAAATGGATAGCAAAGACTGTTCCTTCTTCCAAAGACTTCGTCTACACACCACAGATGGAGGATGTGATTGATTCCTTCATTAAATTGATAAGACATTAGATTTGATTGTTTGCATCAACTAATCAAAACAACAACAAAAGCAAATAAAGAAATGCGGCAGTGTTGTATTGTATTTTAAAAAATTCCTCTAAATAAAGTACTGTTTAAAAATGGCTGGTATTGCAGTATATCTTAGTACAGTGGTTTACAAGATAAAGTATCCAGTTGTCTTCCCTTGAAAAATGTTGAAAGTTTGACTTATCAAATTATATATGACGTCAGATGGATTGCGTACAAATTATTTTTGATGTCATATGTACTGTTAACAGATTAAATGTGACACAAGATGAATCAATGTTGTGAGATTCGTTCATTGGATATAAACTTTCTATTTTATAACAGAAAAATGTCAGAAACTTATGATTACTTCCCATAAAGGAATGTTGAAAATAAAGTTTGTAGCAGTATACATTTCTTTAATAAGTCACTAATTGGGGTAGCACTATTTGTAACACACTTCAGAAATTACCAGAAACAATATCCAGTTCCGTGCTTGCAAAATGTACGAAATATATGTTAACCCCAAAGTGCATCTTAGTTCTTCATTGGAGATGTCAGACCAGACGATTCGTTTTATCAAGCAGTCTGGCATTTTTATTTCTTATCGTCGTTTAATGAAATTCTATGGATTTGAGTTTTACCTATTATGTGTCTTCTTCTGTTATGTCTAGCTGCTTGCTGGGAACAATCCTATGTCAACATCCTCAGTATTCTTTCCTGCTACAGTCTGGAATCAATCCTATGTCAACACACTATGTGTTCTTTCCTGCTCCTTGCTGGAATCAATCCTATGTCAACACACTAGGTATTCTTTCTTGCTCCCGTCTGGAATCAATCATATGTCAACATACTAGGTATTCTTTCCTGCTTCCGTCTGGAATCAATCCTATGTCAACACACTAGGTATTCTTTCCTGCTCCCGTCTGGAATCAATCTTATGTCAACACACTAGGTGTTCTTTCCTGCACCTTGCTGGAATCAATCCTATGTCAACACACTAGGTATTCTTTCCTGCTCCTTGCTGGCATCAATCCTATGTCAACACACTAGGTATTCTTTCCTGCTCCTTGTTGGCATCAATCCTATGTCAACACACTAGGTATTCTTTCCTGCTCCTTGCTGGCATCAATCCTATGTCAACACACTAGGTATTCTTTCCTGCTCCTTGCTGGCATCAATCCTATGTCAACACACTAGGTATTCTTTCCTGCTCCTTGCTGGCATCAATCCTATGTCAACACACTAGGTATTCTTTCCGGCTCCTTGCTGACATCAATCCTATGTCAACACACTAGGTATTCTTTCCTGCTCCTTGCTGGCATCAATCCTATGTCAACACACTAGGTATTCTTTCCTGCTCCTTGCTGGCATCAATCCTACCTCAATATAATTGGTCTTTTTCTTTCTGCTCCTTGCGTGGGTCTTAGCATGAGGCAATCGATGTTCAGTAAAAATACCCGAATTAATTTTGTCTAGATTAATTAATGAACTGTTCAATGACTGGGTCTATATAAATTAATGAAAAGTCCAATAATTATTTATATTTAGATGTGTAACGATTGCGACCCCAAAACCACAAAAATTATTTTCGTTGATTCTTCAAAACTGCTGAGTATATGTGTGTTCTGATCGTCTTGGGCGACCCCTGTAACAGGGTCGTTTGACCCTAAAAGGGGTCGCGACCCACAGGATGAGAACCGCTGATGTGGGATAACAAGGTTGGAGTTTTCAAAATGCCCCACGCCTCCGTTCCCAATTTCCTACTCCACTCTTCTATTTCCACTCTCCTATTCCCATTCTTCTATTCCCACTCTTCTATTCCCACTTTCCTATTCCCACACTCCTAATCCCACTCTGCTATTCTTATTCTTTTATTCCCACTCTTTTATTCCGACTCTTCTATTCACACTCTCCTATTCCCACTCTTTTATTCACTCTTACCGAACTTCTAACTTTTTAAATAACAAAAAAAAAGTTTGACTATCCCGGGGAACAGATAAATGAGAGTAATAAAAAGGGCAACATGTCGAGTTTAGAGACGCCATTTTTATTTAGGCCAGGTGAGCAAAGACAATGGGTGCAATGACAGCTCAGATAACCAGGGTTAAAATGTAAAATTATAGCTAATACGAGAATAGTTAACATGCACAAGGAGAATATAAACATAGTTAACTTGTACAAGTAGTATATGATCGTAGTTAACATGTACAAGTAGAATATGATCGTAGTTAACATGTACAAGTAGAATATACTCATCGTTAACATGTACAAGTAGAAGACTTGTGTAAGACTGAAACCACAGAATTGTTGTCTTTTTTAAATTATAAATTTCAAACGGAAACATATAAAGAGCAACAGAATAAAACCTGCAACATGATATGTATAAAAACGTTGACATGGTCATACCCATTTCTGATATGCTTAACGTTACCTTTAACGCTTGGCCTCGATCCGATATTAGACAAGACGGAGGTTAAAGACGGTGATAGATTCTCCATGACTTGCGATGTAAATCGTATTGTTGACGGCGTTACACGATGCATGTTAATGATGCTACAACTATTCTATAACAAGCCATTAGAGAGTGCAAAGTTGCTGACACACTATGATGGCACCCCCACGAAACCGACTGTCCCTGACGGAAGAAACTGGACGTTTGAGTTCACAAAGAGTGCGACTAACAAATTGGACGAAACAAAAGTGAAGCTCATGGTGAATGACGCCAAATGCAGCGATGCTGGTTTTTACACATGTGAATGCTTTGGCTCTTCAATGGAACCGTTTTTTACAATATCTGAATTGAAAAGAAGCCCTACCTGTGATTTAACGACATCCAAGGCCGTCACTTCAGTTGCGGCTACACAGAAACCAACGAATGCGTCAGTTAACCTGGGGTCCCCAAAGATCTTCTTCATGATTCTTCTTGCGGTCATCGTTGTCGAAATGAAATGTCATGTCAACTGGGGCTTGCCAGCAAGCAGAGGCGTAGAAAGACTCAATTCTACCGAGGGCGGGACATGTTCTGAATAAAAAAACAATGTTGCAAAGGACAGATTGCAGCCTTTGCATTCCTTCCTAAGCTATTGCACATGTTGAATATATAGAGTTTAACTTCTTAGTCAACTTATTCACATAATTCACATATCTGAAATCTAATTCATTTTCATCTTTTATTTACCTATGTGTTAAGCTTAAGTGTTTGTCATCGCAGTGTCACAGTGTGATCACATGGGGATCTTTAGGGGTTGGTCAAGTCAGTGTCCCTGTGTGAATAGATAGAGTTAAGGGCTGGTCATCTCAGTGTCCCTGTGTGCATAGATAGAGTTAAGGGCTGGTCCTCTGAGTGTCCCTGTGTGAACAGATAGAGTTAAGGGTTGGTCATGTCGGTGTCCCTGTGTGAACAGATAGAGTTAAGGGTTGGTCATCTCAGTGTCCCTGTGTGAACAGATAGAGTTAAGGGTTGGTCATCCCATTTTTTCAGTGTTTTCGAAAAGAGACATTTAGGTATTGGTCATTGTTGTGTCTCATTGGAATCACATAGATACAACTAGGTGTTGATCATCGTAGTTACTCCGTGGGATTACATGGAGGCAATTACTGATTGGTCATTGTATAGCCCAAGTGGGATCACATAGAGACAATTGAGTGTTGCTCATCATAGTGTCTTAGTTATACCACATTGAGACAATTATGTGCTAGTCATCGTAGTGTCTTAGCGCGATCACATAGAAAAAAATACGTGTTGTTCATTGTAGTGTCTTAATGTGATCACATAGAGACATTTAGTTGTCAGTTAATGCAAGAGTTGTTCCTCTGCGTGGCGTTACCGACCAGTAGGGTGGGCTTGACTACCTGAAGCTAAACATTTTACGTCGCTACGTCTGTCTCCCAAAGTGAAAAAAAAAAGGGGGGGGGGGATTACTTGTAATCTTCCTCTGGGTGAAGGTAAGAGAAAACAGCCTCGTCACTATTCATTACACACGGCTAGTACATCAAAAAGAAATGTAAGCGAGGTGAACTCGAATCCCCTCATCCCTTGCAGATTGTATATGGGGCTCAGGCGAACTGCAAGCTCTGGTGCTACTGGGACACTATGCAAAGTGCCGCTGGTCACCTCCCTAAAACGTTGGTAATTATGCAGCTTAATTTCCACGGGGTCAGAAGGCAAATCCCCGAGCTCACGAAACTTCTCCACAGTGGACGTAGCTCTACTTCAGGAATGCCTACTGAAAAAGCACCAAGTGCACGTCACGGGCTTTTCAGTTTACCGCTGCCCTTGCGTAAGGTGCCAAGGGTTGGTAACTCTTGTGAAAAACCACCTCACAGCGGAACTGTTAGAGAGCAGGAACATTAGCGGGACGGATACTCTGACCCTAAGAGTAGTCGTAAGGGGTAAGTCTTTTACCATTAACAATATTTATTACACACCTAGGAACTATTTGTGCCTGCCCCTGCAGGGCACAACCCCCTTTAGCGATAGAATAATAGCAGGGGATTTCAATGCCCAAGTGGGGGGTATGAATAATCACAATACAAACGTCTAAGGGCGCTATTTAGAGGAGGTCGAGCTCACGACCAACCTAATCAGGCTGCACAACGGCAACAGTGAAACAGCATTGCTTCATTATGACAAAAGTGCCACATCACGCCCCGATATAACACTGGTCTCTGCCGAGCTTGAGGCAAAGATCCTATGCGAAGTCTTGGAAGAGGTGGGCAGCGATGATCGATCGACTCTCATCACAATCAATCTTGTACTTGCAAAGTCAAGGTTTGCTAGGAGACACTGGCTGTTCGGCAAATCCAAGTGGACACTATTTTGAGAAAAAGTAGAGAGTACGGTGGAGGAATAAGCTGGGATTCCAGATACCTCTGAAAACATTGACCCTGCATACAGCAAATTCGTGAATGGTATCCTCACAGTGGATAAAAATACTCTCCCTAGAATTAATGGCAACCTCAAGTTCCACCCCTTTTGGAACAAGAGGTTGGCAGAGATGGTTCGTGAACGGAAGAAGACCCGGACCAAAGCCGGAAAGTTAAAAACGGTCGCTGCTTG